ACATAAAAGCTTTGGCTCCAATGGAGGCAAAAAAGTCTTTGTCTTTAGAGAGAACTCACATAGTGACATTTGTAAAACAAAAAACCGGAGCACGACTTCCTCACAAGTACTATTTTATTTGTTTTGTAAAACCCGATGAACAAAATATTCAGTAAAGACCCAAAATAAATGATAATTAAGAGAAGAGATTCCCTTAAGATAATGTATATATATCCAGTTGCCATCAGATTCACCTCTCGTCAGAAATGCTAGAGATCTAACAAACTTTCCAACTCCATTCCGGTTTTATTTAGTTATCACGATCTTGTTAATTATCACGTTTGATGCATCAGCTTTATATAATAAGATTTCAGAAACATACAAACAATTTGGTTTTACGTACATTAATTCCAGTTTAGCTTACAAACCAACATTCATAAATAAGTAACAAAAAGCTTACCAATTTCATAACTTGCTTATGCCTTTCTTCGATAAGCTTCCCAAAGCCTTAGCTTTGGTCCTCAGAACAAATTTCTGAACTTTTCCAGTCGATGTTTTAGGGAGATCCTCGAACACTACACTTCTCGGAGCCATATAATGCGGAAGCCTGTCCCTGCAATAGCTTATAATCTCCTCGGCGCTGGCCTTAGACCCGTCTTTAAGCTTCACGAATGCACAAGCAGTCTCACCCCAATACTCATCAGGCCTCCCAACTACAGCTGCTTCAAGAACACATGGATGTGTGAACAGAACAGACTCTACTTCAATCGAGCTAATGTTTTCTCCTCCAGAGATTATAATGTCTTTCGACCGATCTTTCAGCTCTATGTATCCGTCGGGGTGTCTAACGCCTAAGTCGCCACTCCAAAACCAACCTCCTTTAAAAGCTTCTTTGGTTGCTTCAGAATTCTTTAAGTAACCATTCATCACTGTGTTTCCCCTGAAGACAACTTCACCCATAGCTACACCATCAGCTGGTAAACTTCTCATGGTTACAGGATCTTTAACATCGATTTCCTCAATCCCTAAATGATTCACGCCTTGTCGGGCTTTCATTTTCGCCTGTTGCTCTCTAGGCAAAGAGTCCCACTCAGGTTTCCATGTACAGACCGTGCCGGGTCCATAAGTTTCGGTTAACCCATAGGAATGAAACATTAAAAACCCCAACTCCTCCATTTTGTAAATCACATGTGGTGGTGGCGGTGCAGCACCGGTCATAAAAGATACCTTCCCGGGAAGCGGCTTCTTCTCGGATTCAGGAGCGTTAATGATCATATTCAATATCGTCGGTGCACCTCCCATGTGAGTCACCTTGTGCTGCGAAATGTTATCGAATATAACCTTCGCGGTTATATTCCTCAAACATATGTTAGTCCCACCAATTGCGGTAACACCCCACAATAAACACCAACCATTGCAATGAAACATTGGATTAGTCCATAGATAAGTAGGCGACGAGTGCATTTCGTTGAGTAAAACCGCAGCCAAAGCATTCAAATAAGCACCTCTATGACTATAAACAACACCCTTGGGGCTTGAAGTGGTGCCTGATGTGTAATTAAGAGAGATAGCATCACACTCATCGTTTGGTCGTTTAACTTGGAAATCCGATTTCCCCATCGCCACGACATCTTCGTATTCCAAAATCTTCTTCTTCCCTGAGACAGATTGAACAAGAGGGTCTTGGATCAAGACCAAAATGGGGACCTTGTCACCTTTCTTTGAGAGGATTTCACAAGCTCCTTGAGCTATTTGGAGAAACTGATGATCTGCAAAAAGCACTTTTGTCCCTGAATGTCTGAGTAAAACAGCTACAAGTGCGGAATCATGGCGAATGTTGAGTGTACAGAGCAAAGCTCCAGCCATAGGAACACCAAAATGCAACTCAACCATAGCTGGAACGTTTGGGGCCAACACCGAAACCTAATCATTGTAAGAATCAGAAATTCCGATTAATTTGGAAACTTTACCTAGGAACACAATAAGATCTCTAAATTGCATTGCGATCAAATAGATAATCAAGCGAAATCGGTGAAAGAGAAGTTCTGACCACATCTCCGGTGGAGATCCCGAGGTCGGAGAGAGCGGAGGCGATTCTGGCGCAACGGTCACGGGTCTGCCGCCACGTGTAGCTGACGGAGCCATAGACGACGGAGATTCTGTCAGCGTAGACGACGGCAGATCGATCGAGGAAACTGATCGGAGTGAGAGGAACGTAGTTGGCCGGAGACTTGATAGTTCCCTCCATTTTCGCCGGAAAGTA